CCGCGGCCCTACCAGCGAGACAGCCCCCCCCCGGCCTGCCTTGCTACTGCACTAATCCCTGCAAACCTCTTTGAGCTGGAAACGGCTAAAAACGCACAGTGGGGGGGCGAGGAGGGGCCCGGGGAGCGGGCTCTGCCGGGACGAGGTTCCCTGCCCGGAGCGGCAAAGGGGCACGTCGGCAAAGCACTCTGCAACCAGGCACAGGCACACCGCGCTCCAGCACGTGCAAGGGGCAAGGATGCTCCGGTGGCTTCACGCCTTTCACGGGACAACGGCGCTTCTGCCAGGCGCACGGTGAGAAAGAGGCAGTTGTCCAAATACTGCAAAACAACGCGGAATTCGGCCCCAAGCCCCCCAGGTCTGGGTGGGTTTGTATCCACAGAGGACGGAGCCAAGGGAAGGGAGATGTCCAAGAAACGCGCACGAGAGGGAGCAGCCCTGGCACCCTTGCACGGGGACCGTACCTTCGCACACACACAGACCAAACACACTCCACACGCTTCCTGAATCACACGCCGCACATCGGGATGCACAAAAGCGCTTTTGTGCAACACTCCTGTCTGCTTTTAAGCGAGCTGCTGCCGTCAGGAGCCCAGCGGGCACCCGAGTGCCCACGCAGCTCTGCATCACCCGCATTCCCCACGCTGCAGAAGCGCCGGCGTTTCTCCAGCCTTCCCCAAATTCCCACCTGGCTTCGGCACTTAGTCCAAGAAAATCACGCTCACAACCGAGACCGCCAGACACAGAGCATTAATTGTCACGTGGCTGCCCTGAGCCGGGCTGGCAGCTCCGGAGCAACGGGACGTGGTTAGAGCTGAAAGGCCGTAAGGGGAAAGCGAGCGAAACTTTCCTAACGCCGGCTATGGGCTGTCTGTTCCCACACCCCCCGTGTTACACAGTGCCGCTCGCCCGCAGCATCCCCACGGCTCTTACTGGTGCACTTCTTGATGCTGCTGCCCTTCTTCAGCGCGTGCCGGCTCAGCTTGCAGTGGAAATTTTCCTCCCAAAACTCAGCAAACCAGATGTTTCGGCGGTTGTTGTCCAGCGTCCTGCTGGAGAAGTAGCGGTCGAAACCTGCCCGGGGAAGAGGGGGATGGAGGCGATAAATCTCTGGGACGGCAGAGAGATGCTTAGCATGGCCCCAAACCCCCCAGGCAGAGGGGAAGGAGGGTCTCGTGAGCGATGGGTCTAGGAACACGTAAGAGCGCGGTGGGTTTGT